CCAAGCCCAGCCCCACTTCCCCAAGGGGGTGCCCAGCTGCACTTACCTCCTCCTCAAGGCTGCTGCTGCTGTGCTTGCTCTCCTTAGCCAGGTTATTCATAATGGGTACCAGGGCAAAGTCAGAGGGAGACTGAATGCGTTTCAGCATAGATGGCCCCACAAAATTGTATATTGGTTCCCGGCCGGCCGGCCTGGGCCAGGGCCAAGGCAGGGGGGCCATTCCCTCACTGTTTCCAGGATGGCTTCACGGGCCACATGAAACCATTTCGCGGGCCGCATCTGGCTCCCGGGCCTTGTGTTTGACATGTCTGGTTTAGACTGAGACACTATGTCTGGGCGTCAAGCCAAGTTCTAACACTCCAGACAAAATATAGATAAGGTTTATGGCAGGTTTAGTGTAGTCTTTTCTCTTGCCACTAGATGTCATTAGATGCCCATTTGTAATTTTCCAGTAGTTTTTTAAAAAGTTCAGCTCTGATACTCTCCAATAAAAATATAAAAAGGTTTAAAAGTATTAAAGCTCCCCAAACTTTTCTTTTTTCTGTTTCTCTCTTTTATATCTACAATGATATTGTAGACTTCTCTGTTTTCCCCCATGAAAACTTAAACCGCTTTTATTCTGGAGGGAGGAGTAACCCTCCCTTCCTTTAGTCCTGGAGATTTTGTTACTTTCAGATACTTTTTTCCAGAACAGGGTTTATGATCGTAGAAGAAAGAAAGTAGTCTCACCCAGGTCCAATGTGTTGCTCGTGCTTATTTAGAATTGCTTTTCCTCCAGCGGTCAGCAGGTTCCGACTGGCTGCATAAATGCATCCAGTCTTTCTCCTGCCGATCCTGAGGGTTCCTTGGATCTAGCGGGTCGGTTACCACCTTCCCGCAATTGACAAAGGTCCCCTCTTGGTCAGTCACCTCTACGAGGCAACTTTCGGTCTTTTTCGGATCTCCAGCAGGAAGAAATTGGGCGTGGGAATCAGAGCCCTGTTTCCCTGCGCCTGCCTTGCCACACCGACGAAACCGGAAGTTGGGCTTTCTAACTAAATGTTCCAGCCCCTATCTAACTGACAGAAATGACCTTGGTTCCCACAGGACAGTAAATTGTTTAGACTAGTAGAAATCCTCCATCTCCCCCCCCCCCAATCCTGTGGCAACTTAGAACGAAGAAAATGGCTGCAGCTAGGTTTGTTGTAGAGTTGACAGTTCTTTTTTAAAAAGAAATGTTTATTTATGGGATTAATGGATATTCAACCCTGTAGTCTTCACATTCCTGAGTCATTTGAATGTTAAGAATACTTGGTGCAGTCAGGATAATCTGTAGATGGAACTTTATATGCGAGTTTCATAATATCAGGTAGATAACAGTGTTCCAAAGAGAGCTGATTTAAAATAACTGAAGGGGGACAGGAAGCCAGTCCTTATTTCTTTTTTGTTGAAAAACTGTGTTGTTCATCTGTATTGTTCTTCATTATCAGTAGGTTTCTCATTTCTAATTATAAGCATGACTGTGTTATTGGGAAATTAATTTCAAATATTTGTTTGATCAAATATTACAAAGAACGAGTTTATTGGTACAGCCAGAAAAAATTGCAAAGCCATTAGAGCATAAAACATGTTTAATGTTAATATAACTATAGAGATTGCTGCCTTTTATTGGTTGCATTATTATATATTCTGCAAAAATTCATTCCTGTGATTGGTTGATTGATTGATTAATGGATTGAAGGAACTGATATGGCCTTCCTTCATATACACAGTAATCTTAGGTGACTCATAATAACAACCAATCAAAACATAGCAAATACCCATACTTTTATACCAAGTTCTTCCAATTAAGTGAAAGACCCAGTAAATCTTTCCATTAACTTTTATAGTTGGTGGAGCAACATAAAAAGTTTTTAGGCCCCATATCTCAGCAATCTATATTATATAGGTTGCTATATTATAGTAGCAAGTATATCTTAATGAATATAGAATGAATTCAGTTGCAAAACAGAAATATAGTGAAGGAAAAAGTCGTTGTTGAGATATGGACCTGCATTTGCGACCATTGCAGCATCCCCACTGTACGTGATCAGAATTCAGGCACTTGGAAACCAGTGTGTATTTATAATAGTTGTGGTGTCCTGTGGTCATGTAATTGTCATTTGCAACTTTCCCAACCAATTTCTGGCAAACAAAGTCAGTGGGGGAAGCCGAATTGCAGTTGTTAAGTGAATCATTACAGTTGTTGAGACAATCATGAATCACTTAACAATGGCAATCACTTAACAACCATGGCAAAAAAGAGTATAAAATCAGGCATAACTCACTTAACCACTGCTTGGTCCCAATTGTGGTTGTAAGTCATGGACTACCTATATATGTTTGTAGGCAGAAAATATATTTGTCTCCCCTAAAGTCACCCAGTAAGCTTCAAGACAAATTGTGAATTTAAATCTTGGCCTCCATGATCCTAATCTAGTGCTATTAACCACTACATTTTTATGGTTATATTGTTATCAATAAGCTGTTTAGTTGAGAAACAGTGGGTTTGCTATTAATTTGTATTGTATTTATTTGATAAATATCTAATTATAAGAAAACAAGGAATTTATAGCCATAAGAAGGACAAATAAAACCATTCCATATTGGAATTTGATGGTATTTATGCATATTTATTTGAAAGAAATAGATTTGGTTTCTGGGACATTGAAATGTTAGATTGCATATGTTTAAATGACTTTATCTGATTAATAATTTTTATCAATATTTTTTTCTAAGAAGAAACTACGTTAGCAGCTTAGTTTTGAATGCCATTGGAACTGGGTCATACAGCTAAAATTAGGAATTTTAGTGGGCTCTTTTTCACTAAACATGTTGGGAAATAGATGCTTGGGAGGCATGTAGGATCACAATATAACCTGTCAGCAGAACTGTTGTTTCCACTCAGTGGGAATTAAGAAAATTATTAGTAGAAGTGTGATTGGGTGGGTGGGAGTAGGCTGCTGTAGACTAGTCATTCATGCACACAGCTAGTGTTCTGAAAGTTTCTCTGCTCTTCTTTTGAAACATGTTACTTGAAACTTGTTAGCTAATACTTGTTAGCTAATACCTATTTTGATGAGCCACTTATAACCAAGGACACTTTCGGAGCATTTCTTCAGCTGATTGGTTTTCTGAATTGCTAAAAACATAATTGTGCAAGGAAGGTAATTATGTGAAAAATGTATTTGATGAAAGTCTAGAAAATAGATGGAATGATACTAGACAAATATAAAAAATGCCTAATTGCGAAATAAACAACAATGCTCACAGTGCTGTCTAATGTCTATGTGTATTTTCCCATGTAATATGGCTGTAGTATATTGTTGGTATTTATTCTCTTATTGTCTTCATTATTATTCTTCTGTTGCTTTGCATGTACACTGAGAGCTTCTGCACCAGAGACAAATTCCTTGTGTGTCTAATTACACGGCCAAATAAAGTAATCAATTCAATTCATTTTTTTCCAATGTGCCTGATTCAATTTCTTTCCTTTTGTATACAGTAAACTTTATCACAAATGGATAAGCTTTGGTGGCCATTAGGCTGCACTTAGGTTTTTGAAGACAGTGTTGGCTTCAGTGGGTGAAGCAACAATGTATAAAGATTGGGACCATATAGTTCTGTATCTCTCCCCCTCCCCCGTCCCTCCCAGTATTGATCAAAATATTAATTCCTCCTATCTCCCTAATTTATGTTTCTTTAGAGCATATGCAGTTTTATTTCCTCCCTCAGAATGGCAGTAAATTGTCCTGCCAGTTTTGACTACTGTTGTTGGATGGGACTTTGATGATCTCCTAAGTGGGTTCTTTATGGATATTAATAATACTGTATATTTGCCTTCTGTTTGCAGTGTCAATATTTTCTACAGGTTTTTCCTCCATCCTTCAATTTCATACAGTGCTCTGTTCTTGACTGTCTTATTTCTTTTCATAATTTCTAGATACCTTCTGTTAACAATAGTTAATTTACTAAAATGCAGTTTAAAGGGATAAGTACATTTAAACGATAATTTACTAAATACTTGTATATTTATCTCCTATATAGATTGCTTCTTAGTGTCTAATTTTTTTTAAAAAATGTGATTATCAAATTATTTATGTTAGCATGACACTTTTACTATTTAAACACTTTTTAGATTGCTAGACTGACCTATCCTAACTAAAGCTGCCTCAAGACACTTTGCTGCTTGATGCAGAGCAGGGGAAAATGACCTTCTTTCCCCAAGAGAAACTAACTAGAGTGGTGACTTTCTCTTTGTTCAGCACTCATAATGAGACAGCAACTGCAAACTCCAATTTACACTTTACATTTCAAGGTAAAATCCTGACTTATATTTGAAAGGCAAGTCATTATATGGCACTACCTTTGCCCACCAGAATCTTACTAGTATTTTGTGCCCTGTAGCATTTGCCATCTTTGCAGCCTCTGTCTTTTATTTTTTGAAAATGTAATTGCAAAAAGAAAAAGAAAAGTAATAATCTACAGCAGGGCTTTGATCCACAGTATTTGATTCTTCATGGCTTCAATTAACCTTTCAATGTATATGGAGAAGTCTTCATTCTTTTTGAAGTTATATAATTTCAAAAGAATGAAGATTTCTCCATATACCCTTTAAAAAAGCTCGCTTACCACTTTGATATATCTTCACAATGGAGTTTCCATTTCAAATGCAACTGAGGCAGGCTGATGCTGAATCAAAGTGATCTGGCAGGAAAGTGGTATTTTGTATTAAAAGACAGAATACATCCTGTAATGCAGCTATTTTGATTGCATGGAAGGAAAGCCTGAGGGAGCACCCCAGTTGTTCCACTGTAAGATACTGCCGCCTCTCCAATTCATCAGGCATAATTTTCCATTTTTTTCTTTGTGCTTTGTATGTAATATATCTGTCTATGTGTATTTCCTTTCCTATTTCCTTTTGCTACTGAATTGTATATTTTCCTTTTTACAGAACTAAGTTACTGTTTATCCTGTTTCAGCTGCAGGAACTCATTATACAATGACAAATGGAGGCAGTATTAACAGTACAACACATTTATTGGATCTCCTTGAAGAGCCCATTCCTGGAGTTGGAACCTATGATGATTTCCACACAATTGATTGGGTGCGAGAAAAGTGCAAAGACAGAGAGAGACACAGAAGGGTATTTAAAATACTTAAATTTACTTTTCTTGACGCGTTTATAAACTGTTTAAGATTAATAGTTGTTGATTTGAAGGCAAGAAAGACCAGTGAGTACAAGGGGGAAGGAGAGCCAGGTGAGTGCCAGGTTGCTGGTGGCCAATGATGTTTTATTCCAGGAGATAGGTAAACACTCATTTGTGAAAAAAAATGTTCTTAATTCTTCTTCTTGTTTCTCATATTAATGTGACATGCTTAAACAATCAGTTTAAACTGCTCAAATGCTTGAATGTTTCTATTTAGATTTTGCCTTATATGTTCATCTGAAAAAATAAGCATTTGCTCACCTTCTGAAACAAGATATTGGTCATCCATCGGTCATCAACCGTTTTTCATACTTAACAACCGTTGCAGTGTCCCTATGGTCATATGGTCAAAATTCAGATGCTTGGCAACTGGCATCTATTTCTGACAGTTGAGTATCCCGGGGTCACATGATCATCTTTTCTGACCTGACAAACAAAATGAATGGGGAAGCTAGATTCACTTAGCAGCTGTGTTGCTAACTTAACAACTGTAGTGATTCACTTAACAACTATGGCAAGAAAGGTCATAATATGGGGCAAAACTCATTTAACAACTGTCTTGCTTAGTAACAGAAATTGGGGGCTCAATTGTCATAAGTCGAGGACTACTTGAACTGTATCTTACTGTGTTAATAAAATTAAAATTTGTATTAATCTAAACTATATATTGTGTCTAGATCAATAGCAAGAAAAAAGAATCAGCATGGGAAATGACAGAAAGTTTGTATGATGCATGGTCAGGATGGCTGGTTGTGACACTAACTGGATTGGCATCAGGTAGAAACTCATTTTTTAATAATATCCTAAGTATGTCGATTCAGAAATAAATTGTGTTGAATTCAGTAGAAACCTACTCCTAGGGAAAGCTCAAGATTCCATCTACAGAAAGACCTTGCTTAGTGACTGTCTTGAGCAATGACTGTTCAAAGTTCCAGTGGTGATAAAAAAGTAACTCTTCTTGCTAATTATCCCAGTGATGGGGAGAACGTTCCAAAGGACAATGGAGTGCAGAAAAGGTGTTATAAGATTTGCCCTTTTATTTGGCTCCCTCTGAGTTTAGTTCCAGAAACCTTCCCCACCATTTGGGCTCATCCAGCTGTTTGGGATTATATTCTTCTGATGCTGTAAAGCAAAGAAAAGCTGAAGTAACATTGTAAACACAGACTTGGTCTTGTGATTTTCCTCTTATCACTTAGCGACCAAGTTGCTGGTTCTAACTGTCATTGCTAAAAGAGGATTGCTTTTATAAGCTTAGGATAACCATAATGCTCAATGAAAACCAGCTAGGGAGCATAGATAGTATTCTCATATTTTTCTGTCTGCTTGGTATTTGAAGCCACACAGTTAATATACATAAGTTATATTTCCCAGCCCTGAATCTCAGTTATGTAATTATTTCTGCTAATTGCAGTAAAAGAGTTCTTTTCACAATACACATTTTATTTCTACTAAAACACTGTGGATCTAGGGTACTTTCTGTTTTTTCCAACTTCTACATATTTGTGACATCCTAACCAGGAAATGCAATTTAACTGCTTCTTTTAAAGTAAGATTGAAAAACAGGATTTATTCCTGAATTGTGGTGGATAGCCTGGAGGAAATGTTGGAATCACAGTTGAGGCTAAAGTGTAAAGTTCTTTTAGAGTTATGTTTTTATCAGAACCCAGTTTTTGGAATATTAAGTTCCTCATATATCAGCATGCACTATATCAGCATAAATTCATGTTATCAAGAACTGTGTCTAATGTCCTTTGTCCTAAGGTGACTATATTTTTCAGTGATTCACTTGCAATTCACTCTCCCAAAGGTGTTCTTCAATTTATATGGACATCTGCTTGCTTAGTAGTTATTTAATTACTTGTTGTTTTCCTCTTTCTTGAAACATAATTACGATTTATAAAAATACAAAAGGTTATATGGCTGCAAGTTAATCATATGGACCAGTACATATCCCCAAAGGTACAGATAACCCAACATCTTATGGAAATATTAAATTATAGGTGGTTCTCAACTTATGACCGGTCATTTAATGACTATTCAAAGTTACAATGTACTTTTAAAAAAGCTACTTATAACTATTGCCCCACCACCACCATGGTCATGTGATTGCATTTTGGGCGTTCGGCAAACAGGCTCACATTTATGACTACAATTTGCATTTTTTTACCTGTTTCTAGTGTTTTTTGCCAGTTTCCAACCCAATTGAGAAAATGGATTTGTTAACAACCACATGATTTATTTAATGACCACATGATTTGCTTAACAACCACAGTGACTCATTTTATGACTGTCATGGTGCCTCAACAACCACAAAAACTTATGACTAAAATTCTGGGCTCCATTGTGATTGTAACGACTACCTGTAGAGATTAAGTATGTTAACTATCATTTCAATTCTGATAATTATATGGCATGGAACAGAGGAGTTTTATGTCTGTTCTTCTCCTGCAGTTTCTTTTGTCCTCCAAAAAACTGTGAAGTTAACTATTTTCTGGAACAGCATCACAAGAAGTTGCCAGAAGTGTTAAGAGAATTAAGAGAAATTAGAAATATATTTAATGGTGACTATTTGCAAATAGAGGAGCTTTGTAGAAGAATAACTTGGACAGTAAAATTTTGTTTGTTTATTAAAAAGAATGTACAGAAATTATATTAATCTACACATTTATTTTCATGCATTCAGTACATAGGTCCATTAGAAACAATGTGTATTGTTATTGTAATGTTACAATATGTATGCCTTAATCATGCATATTTAATTATGAAATGAGCAATTAAGCATGTATTCCAAGTTAGTAATAGCTGGTTGACTCAGTACCATTGGTTGCTTTCTTTGCTTATTTATCTCCAAAGCATCAGACTGCTGGAGCTATGAACATATGGATTTTGCTTATGGTTTACCCCAACAAAAACTAACATATGAACTAATAGTGAAATGTTAGAATGGGAAATGAAGAAATCAGGATTTTTACATCAATCTCCATTTATGAATAGAGATACCAGAATCAAATTTATTACTGTATACATTAGAACCCCTTCTTTTAACATGTTTTATAATTGTATGGTTATTTATTGTTATATTACTATGTTTTGTTACACTAATTTTATATTAATTATAAATACTAGCATGAAACAGCATGATTATAAAGCTTTATACAATGTTTATTTTTTCCAAAGTATGTCCCACTGTTCATGATACTATGTAACATGCTATATTTTAATATGAAAAATAAAGTCAGTAAATTAAAGACACAGTTATGATGTGTCAGCATTTTTGTAAAACCATTTATAGAAAGTAATATTTAAAATATTTATTACAAAAAAGCAACCTCAGTAAGACTTGTGTTTTTAGTACATTATGATTTTGAGCCTGTCTATTCTCTGAAAGTATGGAACATTCTGTATTTATGGACTAGGTGCTTTGGCTGGATTGATAGATATTGCTGCAGATTGGATGACTGATTTAAAGGAAGGCATTTGTCTCAGTGCCCTGTGGTTCAATCATGAACAATGTTGCTGGGGATCTAATGAAACAACATTTGAAGAAAGAGATAAATGTCCATCATGGAAAACATGGGCAGAATTAATAATTGGTCAAGCAGAGGTAAGTAAAGTCTTTAAAGAGAAATCAGTGCCTTGATGAGTTAACCCTATCTAACAAATAGGAAAGTTTTTTCTAGATCAGAATAGAGCTGGAAGGGACCTTGGAGGTCTTCTAGTCCAGCCCCCTGCTCAAGCAGGAGACCCTATACCAGGGGCATCAAACTGCCAGCCTGTGGGCCGGATGCATCATCGAGAAACCACGCCCACCCCATTGCCAGCAATGGCAAAAAAGCTCCAATACATTGACGTCGTGAGTTTGACATGTCTGCCCTATACCATTTCAGACAAGTTTCTGTCCAGTCTCTTCTTAAAAACCTCTAGTGTTGAAGCACCCACAACTTCTGAAGGCAAGCCGTTCCACTGGTTATTCACATTGTTAGGAACTTTCTCCTTAATTCTAGGTTACTTCTCTCCTTGATTAGTTTCCATCCATTGTTTCTTGCCCTGCCCTCTGGTGCTTTGGAAAATAAATTGATCTCCCTCTTCTTTGTGGCAGCTACCCAAGTACTGGAATACTGCTATCATGTCACCCCCAGTTCTTTTCTCTAGACTAGCCGTACTCAATTCCTTCAAGGCTATTTATTTATTTCAAAGATTTGTATGGCTATACATCTTAAAACACAGCTCTGGGAGGCTCATATCAACAATAAAACCCAGAACTATAAAATCATCTTCTATCTATATAAATAAAAATGTAAATGTTCGTTTGTTCAAAATCTTAAATCTCCGAAAGTTCTTCACCGATTGCTTTGAAATTTTCACACAACATTGCATTCGAATACGTGCTTGTTTTTATATACCTACATTGTATAGATGTCACACCTGTGACAGGTAAAAACATGCTTTTTTTGAAAAACAGCACCATCTGTTGGACGTAAAAGCAACACACACTTTTACCAGACTGAGCCACAGCAACGCGTGGCTGGGTACAGCTAGTATATAAATAAAAATGTAAATGTTCGTTTGTTCAAAATCTTAAATCTCCGAAAGTTCTTCACCGATTGCTTTGAAATTTTGACACAACGTTGCATTCGAATACGCGCGTGTTTTTATATACCTACTATTATATAGATGTCACACCTGTGACAGGTAAAAACATGCTTTTTTGAAAAACAGCACCATCTGTTGGACGTAAAAGCAACACACTTCTTTTCCATTTAACCAAGACTGAGCCATAGCAACGTGTGGCCGGGTACAGCTAGTAATCTATAAAAACAAAACTCGGTACCTCAGTCATCTCCACAACCAATTCCAGATATCCTCATTCAAGCCCAATACCAGGGTAAAAAGCCAGGTTTTGATGGCCTTCCAAAAGGCAAAATGATACTTTATCAAGCATTGTTTCTGTAATGAATTAGCTATTTAACAAAATATTAAAGGGCGTTTTTGTTAACCATATTTGAGGGATGAGATTTTTAGGGCTGGAACTTTTTCAATCAGTATATATATTTTGTCTCCTTACAACACTACTAAAACTTATCCTATCATATTTTTCTTCATTTTTTTCTGCATGCTGTAAATCAGTCTTTTTGGACAATAAATATAGGCAGTCCTTTACTTAATGACCACCTGGAACCAGAATTTCCGTTGTGAAAGGATGTAATTGTAAAGTGCAACTGCATTGCTTAGCAATGGCAATCCTGCAGTCCGGGTTGCTGTTGTTAAACAGTTCCCAGGGTTATTAAGCAAGGCAATTTCCTGTTGGCGTCCCACAAAGTCAGTGTAGAAACCAGTAGGAAGTTTCCAGTCCCAGGCCAGTAGGCAGGTAAGTAGTTGCTCAGCTGGGGAAAAGAGCAAGTGGGTGTGCAGAGAGGCAAGATGCAGTGAAGGTCAAGGAGCACGCGTAAGGGTGCTATGTGGGACATGGATCAGGAAGGTTGTGTGAATGTGCAATGAGAGGGATGCGTAAGAAGCATAATGTGGATTGGGGAAGATGTACAAAGCCAGCATGGCTCTAGCACTGAAGGGCTGGGGAAGAGTGTAAAATGGAGAAGATTTACCCCAGTGATTTGAAACTTTCCTTGCCAGGTTCCGCATTAACTTTGGGGGAAACCTGCACTGAAGGTGACAAATGGAATTGGTGTAATTGTGGGGCACTATAACTGGCCATAAGTGCGAACTAGTTGCTAAGATCCAGATTGGAATGATGTCACTGCAGAGGTAATGGGATTCAAAACTCTGAGGACCAGTCATAACCACCATTCATTTAGCATTGTTGTAACTTTAAATGGGGATGAGCAAATGGTCATAGGTCCAAAGGCCTATCAGTGTTCTACATAATATGTGTGATCATAAAGTGTGATGTGTTTGTAAGCTTGCTTTTAAAGCTGGGAATCTATTTGAAAAATAAGTGATTTGCTAAAGTTTATTTCGTTTTGTTTTAGGGACCAGGTTCCTATATAATGAACTACATAATGTACATTTTCTGGGCTTTGAGCTTTGCTTTCTTAGCAGTTTCTTTGGTGAAGGTGTTTGCACCTTATGCTTGTGGATCAGGGATACCAGAAGTAAGAAATGAATTATATTTATCCTAATTGTGCTGAAAATAAATTTATGAAAAATATTGTTGTATATAATTAACTGTATATTGTTGTTTATAGAAGAAATAAGAAACTAAAATTTGATGAAAGAAACCAGGCTGTCAAGATTGTAATTTAGAATAGAGATTTTAAATATTCTCAAACATTATTAAGAAATATATTAATATAGCTTTTGGAAAATTAAAAGAGAATTCTATTGTATAATTTGAGAGAAAATTTCTACATTTTTTATAGTTGTTACCTTAGCTAGAAATTTGACTGCCTTTTTTTAAATATATGATTGTAAAAGCAGATTAACCTATATGTAGATATATAATACATTTGGAAGAAAGTAGCAGAAATTCCTTACAATAGATTATCTTTGGTTTTTCTCTGGAATCTTAATTTTTATTTCATGTATACTGAATGGAAAATACTGGTTGATAAAAGAAGGGATTATTACAGCAGACATTAAAATTCTAAAAATGAGCACTTAAAATATATGTTAAGAGATAATGTATTTAAATAATACATATAAATAATAACTGCATAATACATGTCAACATACCTAAATAATCATATTATTGTATATTATGTTAGAAATTCAACAATAAATATTGTAACATTAATTTATAATTAATTCTATATGCATAGATTTGGTCAGCAGTCAGATAAATAATCCTTTCAAAGACTCAAAAATATTAAGAATTACAAATAACTAAAATAGAGCCATAAATTCTGAAAAGGATAAATATTTTGAGAAACATTTCTTCAGAATGTACTTTTCTTCTCTTACAGATCAAAACAATATTGAGTGGCTTCATCATTAGAGGGTACCTGGGCAAGTGGACACTGATGATTAAAACAGTCACTTTAGTCTTGGCTGTAGCCTCAGGCTTGAGCTTAGGGAAAGAAGGCCCTTTGGTACATGTTGCCTGTTGCTGGGGAAACATCTTTTCGTACCTCTTCCCCAAGTACAGCACAAATGAAGCAAAGAAAAGAGAGGTATGTCCTTTTTTATCTTCAGTTTTTAATTTCAGTAGAACTTGCAAGACATTTCAAATTCAAAAAATTTAAAATTACATGTGAACTGTATGTAATTTGATAGTCTTATTGGAGGTGTTCCAAATACTACATTTTAAATTGGCAAATCTCTAATTTTTCATGTATAGCAGGACCTTTTTGTTATAAAAAACATCCTTGTATTAATACAGTAAAGTTTGGTTTTGTAACATGGAAAGCAGTGTTATTGACTTAATAGATTAATTTGATAAGCAATCAAGACTAAATGTAGAAGTATACACATAATAAAATGCTGTTCAGGAGTTCATTTAGCATGTTATAGTCTTAGAAACAGGTTAGTAATGTAAAGCAGGGCTTTTCAACTGGTAGTATGCGTACCACCTGTGGTATTTTGGCACCTGGCAGGTGGTACGTGACCGTCCTAGAGAAGTGGTAGCGGGGTGGAGAGGAATGAGCTGAAGCGGAGACAGCACTGCACAAGCCTGAGGGAGAGACAGCTGGAGCTGCAGGGCTGTTGGGGCTCAGCAGAAGCACCAGGATCAGTGCCGGGCTCCAGCTGATCGGCGCTTCCAGAAGCTGGAAGTGTGCTGAAAAGAAAAGGGGGAGAGAGGAGAGGATATAAAAGGAGGTTTTGGCGGGAAAGGGCCAGCAAGAGGCTGCCCCCGCCCTGCCCCCTGGGTTCATGAAGAGGAGGCGGCAAGCCCCCGGCATCTCTGCTGACCAATGAGAAAGAAAAAAGAAAAGCGAAGCGCTTCCCTTTTCCCCAGGACACCAGTGCTCTTGTGCCTTCTTTGTGCACCCCCAGGGGATGGGGCAGAGACGACGGGGGAGCCCTCGCTGGCTCCAGGGCTGCCCCATGGATCTAAGGGTGAGCGCATTCTGGCTTTGATGGTCCCCACCGGTAGATCAGCGGCATGCCCGCTCGCTGAGCTAGCCTCGCAGCCAGCAGGCTTCCCTTTCACCAGGACTGCCCCTGCCTGTGTGGGATAGCGACAGCCAGTGGCAGCATGGCCACTGGCAGTGCTGGCAATCTCTCCCCCTCCCATCATCCCTTCCTGAGCGTGGAGGGAGGGAGGGAGGGAGGGAGGGAGGGAGGGAGGGAAGGAAAGAAGGAAGGAAGGAAGGAAGGAAGGAAGGAAGGAAGGAAGGAAGGAAGGAAGGAAGGAAGGAGCGAGCTTGGAAAGGGACTGCCTTCTGAGCACTTCTCAGGTTTATTTATTTTAGCTGCCAGAGGCTCCCAGCAGGAGGTTTCCCATTTTTTTTTTCAATATAAAATTTATTGTTTTTCAACATAGAAAAAACATCACAAGTATTTCACAATGCTTTATAGAAAAAAAAAAA